TAAAATAAATATTCTAACAATTTTCGTCTTACTAATTAACTCACACATTTGTTAATTGGCAATTTAATATGTAATTTTTCGTCATATCATATTAAATATCAAACTTAAATATATGAATGAATGATTAATAAATCATGACAAGTGTTTTAAATTTGAAACTACACCATTCATGTTTTTTTCACATTCTAACTTATTCTATTTTCAGTCCTATTTTATATCAGAAGATAAGAAATAATTAATTACTTAAGGGTAACAGCAATAAGTACCTGCAAAGATCCGGAGCAAACACATAAATTATATCAGTTTTTTTGATAAATGGTTTGTAAAGCCCACCATCTGTGCCATTAATTTTCCTAAAATTAAATCGCTGTGTTGAATAAAATTTTTCACTACATCATAATGAAACTTCTCAATATCATTACATTACCGCTGCGAAAGCACCAAAACAAAAAATTAACTTATGCAAAAAAATACCTAGCTTGTTTACTGTTCCACCAGTTCTCAGGTAGTAATTTTAATCCATCCCAGTTTAATATTTCACCAGCTGCTATGCTACCATCATTGCTACCGGTGGATATTTCAATAACTTTCTGTGCTCCATTTCTCTAAAATTAACTCTCTCAATATCACTATCATTTATCACCTTTTGATTTTTGTCTTCCAGCAAAAGCTAATTGGGTGAAATGCGATGAAATTAAGCGCCAGCGAACTTGATAGGATTATTTCTTTTGATCTTGGAAGACGTGACAATCAATAAAACTTGATTGATCCTTAACGAATGCACAATTCAAGTTCTGATATAAGCAATTTCACCAATTATAAATTTACTTACTTATAAATTATTATATTGTTTCTACAATTTTTCCGATTATCGTGCCAATTTTCTATTCATTGACTTGTTGGACGATATTCAACAGTTCAATATCATATATTCTTAATACTTATTGAATTTTACCATTTAATCTAAATGCTAGCAAGATATCTGAGGACTAAAGTGCGAAACAGTTTTTTTACAAACATTCAAAGAGCAAGCAATTTATGTAATAACTTTTTTGTCATTATAAAAGGATGGTTTTAGGAAATTGTTTGCAAATGTTATTATGATTAATCACACCTGATTACGCCTAACTCTATTGATAATACTGAATCTATAGCTCAAAAAAAATCAAAATTCTTCTTTCTGAAGAATTTTGATTTTTTTGAGCTATAGATTAAATTACTCTCCAACTTAAAACTCTCTAACTTAAACGGAAAATGTTTTTTCTTCTGGAAATTGTCTATTGTATTTTATTTTAATGAATAAGTCATCATAATTTAACAAAACCATTATTTTCCTTTTTCTTGCTGCAACAATTTTTATTTGATATTCGAAATTCATTGAAATTAAAAATCACTGTAATACTTACATTCATCAGGAAACCAATTCTATTCGGCACTTTCAATACTGATTTGCAAATTAGATCCATAACTGGTATTGCACATATCTTAACAAAAATTTTACACATATATAAAGTAAATATATAAGTTTTGGCACAGCATGAGTTGTTTCTGAAATAACAGATCGGCAGTCATAAATAAAAAGATTGGAGAAACTAACATTTGCAAGATATGGATCTCTGTATCCATTAAACAAAATATCGTTCACAGAAACTTTTAGAAATGGTTGTTGTGAAGTGAGAGCAATTTGTGCTACAGATGTAATTGGATTTGAGGCTATTTCGACAAATTTCTAAAACGATTACAGATTGAAAAATTCTTGAAATCTTGAAATTTTGATTAAATGAAAAGCATTTCAAATGATTAGAATTAGAAACCTGAAAGACAATATTTGGAATCCAAATTTCACGAGCTAGCGAACATTCGGCACACGAAGCGTTCACATCGAAAGTAAAGTTATGAACATTTTGATATTTGATAGAATCATTACCAAAATCAATAATGTTTTTCTCCAAACTTACTTCGTAAGCATATGGGCCTATTTTAATAACCTCTGGCTTATTTCCATTTAAAACCTACAAAATAAATTAGTTTAATGCGACGCTTTTAATTAACAATTTTCTTCAAATCTATCTGATATACTGCCATAAATTAACTCTTAATTTATTCAAATATCTAATTATCTATCACGTAATTAATTAAAATCCTATACATCGTACCATTTGATGTAGTGAATCATAAAAGTAGAATATTATTTAATTGAACAAACTCGAAAAAGTTGAAAATTGTTTGGCAAATAACAATCAAAAAAGATTTGTTAAATATTTCATGAAATGATTGCGTTATTTATTGTAAAAATGGAAAAACCTGTTGTGTATTATTCACTGAGTAAACAAAAATCTCGGAATTGAACTTGTAATCAGGATTTTTCCAAAAATGATATAATTCATTGCTTCTCATAATATTTTTCTGCTGTAAAATAAATTTTGAATATCATCTTAATATAAAACTTAATTTATAAATTTCAATTTATAATATTTATACCCATAAAATAACAATGCTTAATCCATAGTGTTTCATTCGATTGATCGATGATATCAATGCGGAAAAGATTATTTAGGAAAAATGGAATCTCATTCGTATTATTAATATTATTACCTGATAAATTTTGGTATTGATAAGTTTTGGTGTCAGAAATGCCATCGAAATACCAAACAGTATCAGTATAATACCAGTAACAAAGAGTGCTGTTTGAATAATACGACAATGTAACTTTTTCAATTTACATTTCTTCCCTTCGGCTGTCATTTTCTATTTCTACAAAGTAATATATCTGAATATGATAACTCGGTGAATATCGATCAAATTTAGATAATTCGTTGCAATCATATATGATATCAATAATTCATTCATTGGTTTGAATGTAAAATGTTGAATATAATAAAGCTATTCTATTGAATATTTTATTGAATCGAAATAACTTTATTGAAATTATTAGTTGAATATTTTCTTTGTCATTTATGCAATTCCAATTTGATCTCTTCCATCACTCAAATTTCTTCCAATAGAAACTGTGGCAAGACGAAATAGTATAGAAATTTCCACATAAACTTCAGGTGAAGCATATCCGGAACTGTGTTATAAAGTACATATGAATATTTTTTTTCTGTGAAATTTCACTGTTTATAATTCAATTTCCCTTATTATCGGGGATCAGGTAGAACAATCGATATCAAAAATTGATGTATGCATGTGTCTCAATGCTAAAGTGAATTAAAAAAAAACGATTGTTTGAAATGAACTTACAATCTGAAATGAAATTTTGTTGAAAAAAAAAGCAACGCAACTAATTCAAAGAAAATACCGATGAAACCTTAAAATTAGTACAGTAATCTTTTTTATCTATAGAAATCAGTACAAATATCAATAAAAATTGAAATTCAAAAAAGATATCTAAATTTTTAATTTATTTTATATATTCATTTTACAATTTACAAAACTAAAGAATTGAGTGGTTTACTCATTGGTTTTTATAAGAAATAAAATTTTAAATATGCCTATTGTTAATGAACAACTTGTATGCTATCCTAGAAAACAAAGATTATACTGCAAGATAATTATTGATAATTTTATGCTAGCATTTATTATCCTATCTTATCAGTACAAAAATTGTGCATCAAAAAAGTTGTATTGAAATTGAGTCGTTGATCATTGATTAAGCAAAGAACTTGAAATGATCTACAATTCATTGGATAGACAGTATACTGATTAAAATTCTCTAAACGTAACCTCTTCAGTAATCATATCAATAGGCTAATACCAACTATGAATTACTAAAAGAAACTATGATACCAACTACTTGTTTAAATGTCATTTTTTAATTTTACACATTAGCTTCATATTAGCTGGTTCGTATTTGACATGCTTAAAGTTTTAAAATATATCTGGCTAGCCTTTAAAAAATAAGTATTGCAAGAGTTTCCTACATCAAAGCGTTCCCAATATAGGAATTTAATTTCAGGGATTTGATATTTACGTCATTCAACTTTTCATGCTTATCAACTTTACATGAATTTTGAAATTTCTTCTACTAGAAACACTTTTAGATTAATTAAATTAAGTGGTAAGAAACAGTATGCCAAAATAATAAACAATATTATTAATCACAATCTATCTATTACTCATAAGCAAAGCGACATAAGGATTGATAAGTATCAAATACTGGAAGGTGATAAGTATAGAGCAATTTCGAGGGATATATACATCAACATTGTGCGTTGCGTTTCATACAATTTAATTCAACATTTGATTTAAATTGGAATTGTTAATTACATTGTGAGTTGTTGGTAGAATTAATTCTTGTCAGTTATTTATAAAACAATATTTGAATGACTTGATTAACAACTTTTTTATGCTTAAAGAATTTCAAATAAAAATAAATAATAAAAAAATTTTTGTGAAAAATTAAATGAAATCATGATAAATTCAGTATAAGATAGAAGGAAATAAGGTGTAATTGTTTGATTAAAAAAAAAAGATTAAAAAATTCTTGAAAATGCATTCTGTAAAGTATGAAAATGAATAGAAATAAACATTTTCAACGTTTTATCGATGGCAGGTTAAAGAGGACAAGAAGTAGGAGAGGAAATGAGCGCATCTGATATTCTGGTTTTTGGATGTGAAATGTGCCAGGAATGATAATGACAACCGGTTTTCTCAGCAAAATCTAATATTGATTACAGCTCTTTAGCAAACATCATATATTTTCAACTTCAATCTTACCGATAAATTCAATCTAACAGTACAGCAATTTAGCAAAAAAATAACAATAATAATAAACGACAAATTAAAATATTAGAAGAAATCCATCATAATGAACTTTTCAAGTTTTTAAATTAAATTTATACAATAAATTCTTAAATTTGAGAAGTTCAAAAATCTGATAATTTTTTTTCTCTTGCCTTCTCATCTTGATTTTTTTTAAAAAAAAGTGATTTGTCTAAATTTCAAGCACGAATTGTCATATTTTCAAGAAGGATTTCGCAATATCGGTTAGTAATTAATTCAATCATTCATCAAAAACCTAAAAGCGTATTTTTTTCTTGATAGTATTGAAACAAAATTATTTGACGGATGAAATGATTGGCCAGTTTGTAGGAACTTTCAAAAATTTAATGTAATTTTTTGCAACATATTTAATATGTTGGGAAATTTTCCAGCAAAAAAGCATATGAATTATAAATCAATGAAATTAAACTGGAAGGTTTTAATTTTTTCGTTGATGGAATCGAAATTTTTTCATTCTGAATGATTTTTTTATAGCATTAAAACCTTTACTTTTAATAATTCACAATCTTTGTCAATTTAGGTAAAATACATTTTATCAAACTTCTCAGAATATTTTAATAAAAATTTTAAATTTTTGATTTACACTGAGCAATTAAAAAAATTGTATTGGAAAAAAAGTGATCTTAAGCAAAAAAACTGATAATTTTTGCGAGTTTATTTTAATCTAAAAAGAAATCAGAAAATAAAAAAATTAGAGCTGAAAATTTGTACAAAAATCTGAAAATTTGCAATTTTACAAATGTTAGAAACGATGACGATTGGAAGTTTGTTGACATATTCATTTCTAGGAATCGATGAAAGTGTTGCTCAACTAAAAGATAAATATCAAAAAAAAACTGGATCAGTGATGATCAGTGATGTTAGCAAAATTTCGAAATGGTTATTGGAACAGATAAGTTTTAGTGATTCGTTTCTTCCACTACCATTTAATTACTGCCACCAAAATAGTAATAATTGTTTTTTGTCACGATGATCAAAATATCTCCACCACTTATGTATTATAAATTTAAAATTTCAGATAATTAATAAAAACAGTTATTGGAAGTCATCTTCTAGTGAACATGCATCAAACTGAATTTAATTATTGTGTTTAATGCATTATTTTATCAGTCATTTCATGTCAATTCTATCATAGAAAGGTATCATATAAGATTAACTGATATGTCAAAAATTAAACATTTTCAACATTTCACTGTAAAATTTGGAATTCGAAACTTTCAATTTCTCCTTGAAATTTTATCAAAGCAGTATTTTATCATCGAATTGAAATCGTA